TATAGAGTTCTTAAAATAGGCTGTTTCCATCTCAATTCAATCAGTATGTTTAATTTTCTTTCTTTGGATAAAACTTAATGAAAGGACTTTTTGTGTTCAAGAACGCAAACCAAAATCCGTTAAATCAGTTGTGAAAGACGACTGTTTTCAATGAGTAGAGCTTAACAAGAGAGTGAAAACCTATTAACAGTTTAATTATCTGGACTTGCATTCATTCAACATTCAAATTTTAGTTTAGTTTAACACAGGTCTCGAGATTTCCCACCAAAACGATTCTTCTTGTTTTACAAGTAAAAAGTTTAAATATGGATCACTCTTATTTGTCAGTAGTCGAAACTTTAAGCTATGAAGATCTATTCATAGTCAAATTTTCAGCTCTCTGTTGTATACTTAGAATATATCATGGAAATCTCAAAATTGAGAATATTATTGAATTTTTCCAGCGAACGTAAAACTACTATCAAGAAGAGTTTCTGAGTAATTAGTTAAAGCAATCAGAAGGATACGCAGTTGCAATTCACTCTTTGCATTCATATTCTGAATCTTTTGATATCCGAGTAATCAATGCGAAATTATTCAAAGACTTCATTACTAAAAACCTTTACATTAAAAATGAAAATTACTCTTCGAGTGTTAAAATGAACTTGACTTTCATTCGTCCTCAATCACCGTCATCTTCATACCTTTATCTACCCTCAAAGTTCTTTTTTTTTCTTGAATTATGAATCTGAAAATTCAGTGATATTTAATTACGAGTGCTGCATTTCCCTTCAATCAAATTCTTGTCATCACCTACCCATCCTCCTCTGAAAATTCAACTAACTGGAATGATTGATTGGCAATGCACTAATTATTAGCGTGCAAAGCAAAAGATCAACCTTTCTCTACATTAGATCAATTAAAAATAATACTTTGTTTTCCCTCTTCATCACTAGAGTCGAAAACAAAACTTATTTTTGACAAATATTATAATGAAAATATAAAAATATTGAATTTTATCGCAATTATTAGATGAATTCTTTCATTTTAGATCGAGATCGAAAGAAAAACTTGTCTCAAAAGTTCAGAGTAGAAGGTATTCCAACATTGGTTGTTCTATCAGCTGATGGAAGTCTGTTAACTTCAGACGGCACTGATGACATTGATAGCAAAGGATCTGACGCTATTCGATCTTGGCTAAAAGATGGACCAAAATCTTCTGCAGTCCAACAGGAATATTTATGGCCCGGGGTTTCTTGCAATGGATGCCAAATGAATCCACTCGTAGGAGAACGACACAAGTGTTCTACATGTGATAACTACAATTTATGCTCTACATGTCAGAAGAAGGGACATGAGCACAAGCTCACAATTGTACCAGATAAACTAGCGACAATTGCAAAACTTGTTCAAAAAGAAATAGATATAAGACCTTAACTATACAACTGCTTTCAATCTCATACAAAACAAGTAGATTACCATTTAGAGAACTAAACAGTTATGATCTTTTAACCACTTCTTTATTAGTGTTAACAATAAAATTAAATTAAAAAAAGTATTCTTTGTTCAAACCATTCTATTTCAGTACTTGTTATTGGACGAACTAGGTCTTACAAATATCACGTTTGGAGCTAACCTTCGTGTATTAAAGATGTGTAAAATTTTTCTCAAGTTAGTATGTACTACTAATGTATTGTGAACGCTACACTTCTACTGTAAACATTGATGCGAATATCTTGTACACACATCTGTTAGCTTTTTGTTCTTGCATAGAGAAGATAACGCTATCTTGTAGGTGCTCTTCAATATCAAAATAATATTCTCTCTCTATAATCAAACGTCATACTGTCAGCTAATGTCAACTTCACATTCGATTAAAGAATTTTCAAGGACCACACTGTACAAAGAGCATTGCCTATAAAATTCTAAAGTTTGTTTTTCGTTTGGTCTTGATTCAACAAG